TCGCCTCTGTCTGACGACCGACTCCAATTCTTTTCGATCCTCTTCTACCTTAAGTTTTCCCTCTTACGCTTCCATCCCTTTTCTCTCTGAAACCCTAATTTCCAGCAATGGCGTCTGCTGCTTCTCCCTCCTCTGATTCTGCATCACCTGTTCATCCAATTCCGGTGACAAATTCGTGCCCTAATTCCTCTGGCACCTCCTCTGCAGCATCGATTACGATTCAGAACATCGGCTCGATGGTTCCGATCAAGCTCACTACCATTAATTATCTCACGTGGAGTGCATTGTATGCTCCGATCTTTCATCGCTATAATCTCACTGGTATTGTTAATGGCTTAATCCAAGCTCCGCCGAAAGTTCTTCGAGATGCCTTTGGTAATCAGATCTTGAATCCTGAGTACATCGCCTGGTATGAGAATGATCAAAGCATTCTTATCTGGATCAACTATACTCTCTCTTAATCTTTGATTCCATATACTATTGGTTCAACTCATCTCGAGAGCTATGGTTCAAGCTTGAATAGCGCCTTACAGCGACTTTATAATCTCATATTTATGAACTCTGATCTCGTCTTCGCAACATCCAAATGAGAATCCACCGCTGCCTCATATCTTCAGCAAATTGAGGAAATTGCTGATGCTCTTGCCAGCGTCGGAGCTCCGATTGAGGATTATGGCCTCATCTCTGTCACGTTCCATAGTCTGCTGCCTGAGTATGATTCTTTCGTTGATGCGATTAAATTCCATCTCGGTTCTACAACAATTGACGAACTTCATGGCTTGCTTCTTAGCAAAGAAATTCAACTGGAAAATCGCAAGAAAGCCACTCCATCTTCTAGTATTTTTCAGGCTTTCTCTTTGAATCTTGGCTCATCAACTGGCTTTCTGCCTACACCGACCTCTAATTCTGGATCTCAAGCTTTTCTTGCTCAAAATTCTTCTTATTTCAATCAGTATCAAGGTAGTTCTCAAGATCGCAATCAGTCATATCCTAGATCTTCACAGCCCAAGAATAATTTCTCTGGCTATCGTGGTAACAATCCGCGTTCAAATTACAATCGCACCAATCAACAGCACCATCTTGGAGGTCGCTCAGGTTTCAACTCTTTTGGAAAACGACTCATTTGTCAAATATGTCGCTAGTATGATCATGAAGCTTCTGAATGTCCATATCATCTGAATCCTCAGTTTGGTAACAGAAATTCTCAAGCTGCTATGTGTGCTAACACTTCTCAGAATGGCTCTACTTCTTAGCTTTTTGACTCAGGAGCAAGCTCACACATAACAAGTTCTTTAGCCAATCTCCAAAATCTTGAACCTTACACAGGCCCTGAACAAGTCTATATTGGTGATGGCAAAGGTTTGCCTATCTCTCATTTTGGCTATTCCTACATACATACTCCTTCTCATCGTTTTGCTTTGCATAATATGTTACATGTTCCTGATTTAAAGCAAGATTTATTCTCAGCCGATCAATTTACAATTGATAATTGGTGTTCAATTCACCTTTATTCTTTTCACTTCACTGTGAAGGATATTATTTCGACGAGGACGTTTTTTAAAGGCCCTGTGCAAAATGGATTTTACCAATTCTCTGCCTCTGTCAATGCTGGTTCAAACAAGCTTTATGCAACCACTATTAAAACTTCTCCAGACGTTTGGCATCAAAGATTGGGCCATCCCTCTTTCAAAGTCTTAAATAAACTTGTCTCTAAGTCTAGTATTCATGTTTCTAATAGTATGAATAAGACTTTCTGTTCAAATTGTGCAATGGGTAAAAGTTCCAAACTGCCTTTTGTATCTGTCTCTAGTGTTACAACTTGACCCTTGGAACTTTTGCATGCCGATGTTTGGGGTCCAGCTCCACTTCTCTTTGTATCTGGTTATAGATATTATCTCCTTATAGTGGATGATTTCACTCGTTATTGTTGGTTCTTCCCTATCAAATGTAAATCTGAGGTATTCAAGACCTTTGTTGAATTCAAAGCCCTTGCTGAATCTTTGTTACATACTAAAGTTGTTACACTAAGATCTGATTCTGGAGGTGAATTTGTCAGTTCTATGTTCACTCAATATCATCAACTATCTTGTCCTCACATACCAGAGCAAAATGGTTGTGTGAAGCGTAAGCATAGACACATAGTAGGAACTGCTCAAAACACTTTTAGTTGTCTCTCATTTCCCTATATTTACTGGGTTAAAGCATTCTCTAGATTATTTTATCTTATAAACAAATTGCCTACCATGTCTAGATCCTGCCCTTAGGAAAATATGTTCAAAAAGTCTCCAGATTATACAACATTGAAAGTATTTGGGTGCAGGTGTTTTCCTTGGTTAAAACCATATGTAGCTTCCAAACTTGAGCATAAAAGTAAGCCCTGTGTCTTTCTTGGCTATAGTTTCAATCATAAGGGCTATATGTGTCTTGACATTCAATCCAGAAAGGTCTATATCTCGAGACATGTCATATTTGATGAATTGACCTTTCCATTTCATCAAGTCTCTCAAGCTTTACCTTTCATAAGATCAACCACTACTCCTTCATCTTTAATACCTTCTACTCTTATCTTCCCCAAACTCCCTACAGCCTCTAATCCTTCCCCCCCTATACACCATATTGCATCTTCCTACACTCACAATTCTTCACCTTTCCAACCCACCTCTCCCACCTTCATTTCTCACCATTCTTCACCTCTACAACCATTACCACCTCAGAACACTCACCCTATGCAAACCCGATCCAAATCAAGTATTTTTAAGCCTAAGGCTTATTCAGCCACTAAACATCATCTTCCTTCTCACATATCTCCTGATTTTCTTCCCACCACTTATATCCAAGCCTCAAAACATTCTCACTAGAGACAAGCCATACAGGAGGAATTCAATGCTTTGGTCAATACTAATACTTGGTCTCTTGTTCCTCCTCACCCATCTCAAAGTCTTGTTGGATGTAATAGGTTTTTCGCATTAAAAAGAAAGTTGATGGAACTATTGACCACTATAAAGCACGGTTAGTAGCAAAAGGTTTCCATCAACAGGAAGGCTTAAACTACATAGAAACCTTCAGTCCTGTGGCCAAACCAGTAACTATAAGGCTTATTCTCACTCTTGCATCTCAGTATGACTGGTTTCAAATTAGTTAGATGTCAATAATGCCTTTTTGCATGGCACTATCTCTAAAACTGTGTTCATGGAGCAACCTTCTGGTTTTCAAGATCCTACTAAGCCTAATCATGTTTGCAAGTTACATAAGAGTCTTTATGGACTTAAGCAAGCTCCTCGTGCCGGGTATCAGAAACTTCATGGTGCACTTCAATCTGTGGGATTTTGTGGTTCACATAATGATCACTCACTCTTTGTCAAGAAGGATCCTTCTTTGGTGTTCATTCTTGTATATGTGGATGACATTTTAGTCACAGGTCCATCTTCCCAAGCTTGCAAGGATACAATAGCTCAACTCAGTGCTCTTTTCCAATCAAAGATCTGGGTCCTCTTCATTTCTTTCTTGGCATTGAGGTTAACATGTCCTTTTTTGGAATTTTTATATCTCAGACTAAATATATTCTTGATTTGCTTACCAAGACAAACATGGCAAGTGCAAAACCATGTGCTACACCTCTTAATACATCTGAGTTGGATCACCCATCTCCCTTACTCTCCAATCCAGAAGAATACAGATCTATTGTAGGAGGTCTGCAATATCTTACTTGGTCAAGACCTGACCTTTCTTTTGTTGTTAACTTGGTTTGTCAATTTATGCATCAACCAAGACAATCACATTTCCAAGCAGTCAAAAGAATATTGCGATATTTGAAAGGCACACTTGAGCTTGGTCTCTGGTCCAAAAACCTCAAGTTCTCTCACTGTTAATGCCTTCTCAGATGCAAATTGGGCGGGTGTACACTAGATAGAAGATCCACAGGTGGTTGTTGCATTTTTTTAGGCAACTCTCTCATCAGTTGGAGTGCTAAAAAGCAGCCAACCGTGGCTCGTTCCTCCACTGAAGCAAAGTATCACTCCTTAGCAAACACAGCTGTTGAAATTACATGGCTTTGCAAGTTACTAGTTGATGTTGGTGTGTCTCTATCATGTTCTCCTACATTGTGGTGTGATAACATTTCTGCGATCTCCTTAGCTAAGAATCCCTTATTTCATGCTCAGACTAAACATGTGGAGATTGACTATCACTATATAAGGGAAAATGTTCTCTCCAATGTTGTCATCGTTCAGTTTGTGTGTTCACAGGACCAAATCGCGGATATTTGCACCAAATCTCTGTCCACTTCTCGGGTTTTGCTTCTCAGAGACAAACTATCACTTCAGTTGCCTACGTTCAGTTTGAGAGGGCATATTAAGGATAGTTTATCTTGATTTTCTGTTGTAATTCTCGTAAAATTAGTTGTAGGACAAATGGGCAAGTGTACAGCTGCTTAGTTGGCAAATGTATAGCTCTATATGTACCAATGATGTACTCTAATTATTTCTTAATGAAACAGTTTTCCTAATAGTACAAACTCAATATATTGTTTTTGGTTTGAAGACATTTGTATACCGAACCAATTGGTTTCAATCAACTATCCTTTTTGGGATCCCAACATAAGTAAATCAAACTGTAAAAATCTTTACATTTTGAGACAATTTGCTTCAATATATTATTATCTTTTCCTGTCTGAGAGATGAGATAACAAATTGTCAGGTTTACATTGATGATAAATAGGTGATAACGAAAGATGCTCATAACAGAATATAAACGATTCAAGCGAGCGTGACCGACACCTTAATCGAAAAACTTATCATCTACGCCACTCTTTTCAAATAAATGGCTAAATAACATTTTTCCCTAAAAACCTGATTATAGTAAGGGAATAGGAAACCCCATTTTACTAAGGGATAGGAATGGTTACCCAAATTGTGGCAAGTGGGTTACACACGCTACCGCCTCTTGGAACTTCTTTTACTTTTAGTTTTAGGTCCCTTCCCCTATAAAACTCAAACCCTCCCTTCTTAACAGATAATCTTTGTAAAATCCCCTCTCCTCTCACTCTCTCTCTCTCTAGAAAGCTCGAATTTTCAGATCTGTAATTTTTGTGGTCTCAGATGGCTGTTGAAGTGCTCAGTCCCAAGGATTGCCTCAAGCCTAGCTGCCTCGGCCGCCCAAGCCGCCCCCAGCCCGACGGCAAGAACCGAAGGCCCAGCCGGCCCAATAACCTTCCTCGCCCGGTCCAGAAATTCCCGGCCCCCCAAAACCTTGTCATGGGTCAGGTCAAAATCCTCAAGCGTGGCGAAGAAATCTCTAAAACGGCGCTGGCTCCACCACTACAGAAGCAAAATTTCAAGCCCCAAGTGCCGGCTCCGCCGCCACAGAAGCAGAATCCCAAGCCCCAAGCTCCGGATCTCGGAAACACGAACCGGATGGGCCCGGAAACGAAACGGATTGCCAAGCTGAGCAAACAGGCGGACCCGAACCGGACTGCCGGTTTCTACGCCGGATCGTCGTCGTGCATAGCCTCGCCGCCTCCAAGCTCTCTGCCTCTGCCATCCTTTTTCGCCAAGAAGGGCGCTGCCACAAGCACAGATGCTGCGGCAAGCGAGCTGCTGAAGCTTCTGCGGCTGAATTTGTAGTTGGGCCGGCTAGTCCATTGGGTCGCCGGTCCAGCAGTGGACCGCCAAATTGCAGTGTAAATTCTTGGATTTTGGCTTAATTTTCGAGATGTGTGGTTGTCGTTCCTCCCCTTATTTTTTCAAAGGGAAGATGGATGAATTCGCAGTCGGATCTAACGCTTTTTCTCCTTTTTAATTTATTGGTTGGATAATTAGTGTGCAGGGATAATACGGTCGGTCTGGTTTAGCGTTTAATTTTCAATTTGTTTTAGTTAACTTTTCTATTAATTAGGTTTAGGTTTAAGAAGAAGATGGAGATTAGAGCTGTATCTCTAAAATTAGGGTGTATATCCCCAAGTTTTTACGATATGGTTGCAAATAAGTTTTTAAGTCAAATTTGGTTTTAAATTCCATGTAATTTTGTTTACCTTTATCGAGTTGTTTTATTTTTCTACTATAATATATTTTATCTTGTGATTGGATTCCGTCCTTATTTTTGATATTTGATATTTGGATTGAATAAACTACTAGAATGTAATGGTTTGGATTTCACTGGACGCATTTCAAATGATGAAATTCGGAAAGCTGGGGAAAAAGCACTTTGGGTTGCACCTACGAAAGTAAAAGCAGAAGCAGAAGCGCCTATGAACTCTTTCTCTACGCCCTTTTGGTCCCAGAAATTCGTCGCTTGATGTCGGTGGGAATTGGGATGCAGCTTTAAGTGAAATATGCCAAACCCTAAATACTCTCTTAAAATTGGACTCTAAACATCAACCAAATTACGATCCAAGTCCTAAACTTAGTTTTAAAAATTTCAGTTGAAATCATTCAACTTTTAGACACAACTGAAAACTTTCTACCGTTGTTTCACAATCCAAAAATTAAACAAGTGAGGGATTTCGGTTAATTCAAACATTGAGTTAGTTATAATGATTCAAGTGGCCACATGCATTACACTTTTATCCTATTTATTCTCATAATTAATTATTCAAGGTATAAAATGGTCTTTTTCTGTGTTTAAACTCTTGAGTTCTTTTAGCTTTAAAGGCTCTTGGTAACTTTTTTGTTTGTTTGTTTGTTTTTTATTTGTAATTCTGTTTAACACATAGGCAAACGTGGTAAGGGCTCGAGTGGTTAAGGCTGATGGCCACCTCTCCCAAGTGGTCAGCTCTTTTGATAGATTACCATTAAATGAAGGGATCCTTGAGTAAATTGTCGATTTATCTCTTCAACTCTCATTTAACTTTCGATTTCCTTGTTAAACTTTTTAATTGAAAAATCAAAGACAAACTAATTTTTAGCCGATTTCCCCTTACTGTTAGTTTTTCTTAGATTTCATCCAATTTAACGTTAACTCTTATCATGTGCACACCACGTGGCTCTCCCTTGAGTACGTAAGTGTCAATTCGCTAGACCTTCATACACAAAAAAACTATAGAATCACACAAATTTGTATAGGTTGACATTGTAGAAATATAGGGTTTCAATTATTTTAAGGGAAAACTAATGAAAATGGCTTGAAAACTTTGAGTTTGAACGATAGGAACAAAATAAAGGGTAAAGTGAATAGTATCAGGATTGACTTTTTAGTGTAAAAATATGGTTTTTCGTTAAAGTGAACAATACTGAGATGTTTTCGTTAAAGTTTCCTTATTTTAAAGAATGAACTAAACTACCCTCACATATTGTGCATATGTTTCAATTTAGCATAAATTTGGATGGAATAAATGAAAAATTAAAATTGGCCAAAAAAATAGTTTATATCCTTAATTTTATAATTAAAAGGTTCAATTGGGAAATTAAAAGCTAAGTAAAAGTTTAAGAGAAAAACCGGCAGTTTACTCGATACCCTTTAACTAGGTGACGAGACCCTTTAACTAGAAGAATAAGATATTTATTTGGTGGATAGAAAGAAGCCACATCACCACTATTTATAGACATGTTTGACCTTCCTTGAGAAGGCTTGGCTGCATACACCAGACCTCTCTCATTCCATGTATTCTGTAAGAGCAACTCCACCCATCAAGCGATGGCAAGGGCAAGGGCAAGAGCCCTAAAGTTGCATTCCAACCTAAAAACCCTCGTTCACCTGTCCTAATTGGCAAGGTCAAGTGGTGGGCCAAGAAAAGCCCACTCAAGAGTCCAAGCATCTGAAGTCCAGCATTGCCAAATGACGTCAAACCATGTTCACATATTTGTTTTGTTTGGCGCATGCAATGCACACGTGAACTCGGCGAGTAGGCCGATAGCTTCGGCTGTTGTGGAGCCCGCTACATCAGTCCAAGGGCCTCAAACGGGTATATATAGTGGCAATTCGTGAGCCGTTGGATTTTCAATAGACGAATGATCAAGAACTTTGGACTTTCAATGATTTTTATGGGATTTTTTAACTTTAATCTTTCAAGAGTATTGAAATTTAAAATAAACCTAGTGTTAAATTACATATTGATTATAATTTCTTAATGTATCTTTAATTCAAAATAATTAATGTACATTTTATTTAATGTCTTCCATTCAATATTTAAATTTATTAATATACAAATTTTAATTTATTAATTTTATTTAACATTCTTCAAGACTCAATTAATATACCTAAATGTTAGTACTGATATGTATTATATTGAACTAATGTATTTAAATGTTAGTACCGAAATATATGCACTGAAATGTATTATATTAAATTAATGTACCTAAATGTGTGTACTAAAATGTATGCACCGAAATGTTAGTACCAAAATATATTATATTGAATTAATGTATTTAAATGTTTGTATTGAAATGGATGTACCGAAATGTGTGTATCTGAATGTATGCACCGTCTATTATAATAAATTTAATGTACCTAAGTGAATAAAACAAAGTACATCGAAATATATTGTATAACAAAATTAGTTTATCTAAATGTTTACAATAAAATATATTAGGATAAATGAAATGAAAATTATAATTATAATAAAATAAAATTAATACAAATTAGGAAGAAAAAGAGAAATAATTAACAAAATCAAAATATAATTAATAAATGAGGTTATTAATGTATCAATGAACTCAAATTATATCTTGATCTTACACATGGTTTTAATCTAAAAGTCATCTTTACCAAGGATTAAAATGAAGTTTTGTATTTTTTTTTATTAAAAAGTACCCACTATCTTCTTCATTCCCTACATCACAACGCAATATTTATTTTTACGACAATCTTCTATATTTGTTATTTCCAAATCCTTTTTTTTTTACCAACAAAAATGAGGGAGAAGGTAATTTGGTTGATCGAGGAAGACGTTGCTTTACTTGAGGGTTGTGTGTGCGTTGCTCGTGACTGGGTCACGGGAAATGAGATGAGGGTGCAACAAATGTGAAAAAAATTCATGCATAATTTGTCGAACAAATTCGTCACTTAGTATTATAGTCTAGTGGTATTCCTCTTCATTTGTAAGTGAGAAGTCTTAGGTTCGATTCTTACCATAGACGAATTTGAACCACGTTATTGTTAGCCCATTGAGAGGCTAAGCCCACCCCTCTTAATGTAGATAATATTGTTTGTTCAAAAAAAAAATTGTCGAGTAGAAGCAAGGCACATCCCGGATCAAGCAATTTCTGTCGAGTAAGTACAAGTATCTACATCAAGAGTTGAAATCTTGGCAAGAAGCCTTGGCAAAAGCAAAAGAAATTTATCAAAGTGGCAATAATCTAGCAAATGAGGTAATAACATTTTGTTATTAATAAATTTAAAATGTAATTAACATGTTATTATAATATTTAGACCTTTATTATGCAACTCATTATGTTGTTTCACAATTTTGGTTTCAGCAATTACATGCACAAATGTGGTTCAATCTTGAAAAAAGATATCATTCACAAGGCACAAATATTGGAACATTATGAAGCGTACTCCGAAGTACAAAGTTTTGCCCAGTGGTCCACATGTTGTGTTGAACAAAACTCCCCTACATAAATCAACTACTGATGAGTCGCCATTAGAGGCGTCATTGGTAAAGGCTGCTAAAAAAGGAGCTGCAAGATGGAGTTTGAAATAGTTGACAAATTGGCTCGCCAACATGCACTGAATGGAGGAAGACAAGTTATCTTATGAGCAAGATAAGGCTAGAAATGAAGCAAAGACAAGATAAAGGGAGTTAATAGGCAAGAAGGTCAATAAGAGAACGTCAATCATTTCAATATCGTAGTTGGTTATGCTAGGATTCACATTTTATTCTTAATTAATTATCTTGTCGTAATGTTTTGCTTTTGCCTTGTATTTGGAATAAATTATTGGAATTAGACAATCGTTTTATTTTCAATGAAAAAACTTATGAGGATCACACTTAAACAAACTTAAACACACAGTCAACTCACTTACAATTAAGGAACACATGACACTATATAAATGGTCAAGAATCTTATAAAAAAATATGAAAGAATATTATTAATGCATAATGACACGTGGTGCAACGACAGTGGTTGAAAATCTCATTGGAAATCTAAGGCAAACATGATATGTGGAGTATAAGGCCAACCAAACAACCCAAAAAATATATAATTTAAATTTGTGGATAGTAATTGCTCTTACCTAACGGATGGAAGTGCACAAAGGAAAGTATTATTTAGAGTGAATAGTAAGGGAAAGTTAAATGAGTTCTCAAATCACACCCAGTGTATTTATCCACTCAACTGAATAGTAATAGACCCCAGTGAACAGTAATAGGCCAAAACATGCGCTAGCACCCAGTCTAAAAATGCGCTGGCACAAACGATCTCCATCCCTACAAAATGCGCTGGCACCCAGCCCATTTAAAATATTTTATATTTTTTTAAAAGAATAAATAAAAAAATAGTTTTATTTTCAGATAAGATTTTTAACCAATTTCGGATAAAATTTCAAATAAAATTAAAAAAAAACACACTAAAATAAAATTACATACTCATCAAATAAACTTAAAAAAAAACACACTAAAATAAAATTACATAAACTCATCAAATAAACTAAAAAAAAAACACACTAAAATGAAATTACATTAAACTCATCAAATACACTTTATTCTTCAACCACAAGCTTATTTTAATTATCTTCACCTTCTTGCAATCCCCACTAGTGCTCAATCAAGTCATTCTGGTAGGTTACGTGCCAATATGGCTCTTGCACATCAGTGTACCGCTGAACGATCAATTTATTGTAACGTCCATCCCTTTCCAACGACTCGTGTTGCACAGGATCTTCGGTCTGGTCATGAGCACAATAGATACGTGTTGTTGAGTTGTTCATTGGATCCGACTCATATTCATCGACGGCATCATAATCATACTCATCTTCCACAATCATGTTGTGGAGAATAATACATGTTATCATGATGGATCGAAGAGCCTCGACATTAAACATTCTAGCTGCAACCCTGACAATCACCCAACGAGCTTGCAGGATGCCAAAACAACGTTCCACATCCTTCATACACCCCTTTTGACATTTTGCAAAGGGTTTTTCTTTTTC